CTTTATTTGCTATGAGTTATATCTGAAGCAAATTATGTTTCTGAAGATGTGTAGTGAATTCCACCCTTCAATGTAGCATAAATGTGAACTCTCATTACAGGAACAATACCGGAAACAGACGTAGGAAAGATCCTCAGCTCGCTGATTGGATGTTTTAGCCACAATGCACGTTTTTAAAGATATTACTGATTTTCTTTGAATATAAGAATGTAAATACTGAGTTGAGAGAATAGTCAGGGGATTTGGGTGATGGGAGACACATCTATGGAATCACAATTTCAATGGCTTACCATTAAATGACGGATATACCTTTCTGTCTGTGATGTTTTACAAATCAGATATTAATGTTAGAAGTAAAACATGAGAAATAGTATAGCAATATCCTGTACAATTATGTAAAAACATGAATAAAACACATCTTCAGATATTATACATACATAAGTGTCCTACACTAATAATACAAAGTTATTATTAGTATGCTGTGTGTACCTTGTGTGCACCGCCTAGTGGTTAAAGCACGTTATTGCATTTTTTTTGTTGAATAATGTTATTTGATGAAAAATATTAAGAGTACATTAAGAGTTCTACTCTGTTTGTCTCCATTTAAGCAGGGACAAACAGAGTAGAACAAAGTAGTATGCTACTGTAACAAAAACATTTCCCAACTTGGGATCAATAAAGTATATCTTATCATATCTTATCTTAAGATATGATAAGATATACTTTATAGGGGGAAAGTAGAAGGTCAATGATAGAAATATAGAATATAAAAAAATCAAGAACATACTGTAAGTGATCTCTACAATAAAACAGTTTAGTGCACGATGTAGAAATATATTAATATGAGGATGTGCAAAACAGACAAACTAATTAACCTTAACCTTAATCTAAAGTATTATTTAATGTGTTAACATTAAATAATACTTTAGATTAAGGTCTTCTTTTAAATAACAAAAACGCTTTGGGGATATCTATCTACAGATAAATATTAAGCCTGACAAAGTACTTAACGTATAATATATTGCTTTCCTGCAATGTTAACTATGTTGAAGCACTTATTTTAACTGATATTATACACATGAATTATACTCTTATGTATGTAGATAGAATAAGAAATGTGCAGAATATGACAGTTTAATGGTGGAGGTACACACATATTGATAGATGTCTTGTAATGCACTGTTGAGGAACCTGTGACCCAAGTATATGATATGTCAATAAACCTTTGAAAATCTTGAAATCTTGAAAGGGATGTGCAAAATATCAATTATATAGAGTTTTTAATGAACTATTAGTAGAGAATAACGAGTAATGAATATACTTTATAGAGATCTGCAGATAAATGTTTAGTCTTCTCAAGCACCAACTATCAAATATCTCTCCTGATTGTTGGCACTTGACAATCACCTTCCCTGAATTTTACTCAGGTGTAACTAAAGTCTGATTTAAGGGTTGTTTATATTTCACATCATTAATCAGAATCTGCAGTAACTCAAATAAATGTAGTGGAGTAAAAATACCAGGTTAACCTCTGAATTGTAGTGGAGTAGAATTACAAAGTAACAATGAGCTGTCATGTGGGTATATATTAATGCTGCCCATTATGGACACAAGCGATTTTCACCCATTTAGTAATTACATGTTTTAAATGTGTACACACCAATTTGTTTCCTATCACCTAAACCTCCAGGGCTGTACACAGTTTAATACTGTCATTGCTGTCAACTTCTAATTTTGGGGAAAACGTCTTTTAAAACTACAATTCCCAGTAGAGATGTGCCATAGAGACCATGTTGCGAAACACAATAGCCAGCATGTGTAGTTCTCGGGGGGCGTTTGAGTCCAGTTTTGGATAGTCTGCCGTGGTTTAGTTCCATTTCAAACAGCTGTTTGACGGTCGGCGTAACCTTGGCGCACTGCCACTCCAACATCCAATCAGAGCTTGAATATTAATCACGGGGTTTGTCGCAAAGCGGACAGGCGTCGTCACAACAATAGCTGGGGATTGTGGGTAGTGTAGTCTCTTTGGCGCTCCACATTTCAGAGAAAACAAGTTGTTTCTCAGAATTGAAGGGGAAAAACACAAAAGCATTGTACACAATTTAAACCTATCAATGTTGTTTAATTAACAAAGGTAATCTGGTGTTTTTGAGTTGATGGTAAATGGTAAATGGACTGTACTTATATAGCGCTTTATCCAGTCTTTACGACCCCTCAAAGCGCTTTACATACTACATGTCATTCACCCATTCACACCCATTCATACAGAGCAGTACCACTTGCTCTAGGACCTAACATTCACACACATTCACACACCGTTGGCCATGCCATCGGGAGCAACTCAGGGTTAAGTATCTTGCCCAAGGATACATCGACATGTTGGCTGCACGGGCTGGGATCGAACCCACAACCTTCTGGTTGAAAGACGACCGCACTCCCTTGCAGCCACAGTCGCCCTTAGAGTAGTGCAGATATCACTGTCAAATCAATCGACAGTAAGGAGAATACTTACTTCCGGGTGTACAATTCTCCGTTATCCAATGGGAATGGACGCTCACATTGTCTTTAAGAGCTGCCGACATAAATGGATGCGGTGCTTCCCTGAGCGTCAAATACCGCCGCCGATGGGAATACATTGCAATCAGTTGAAAGCTCTTTGCGTCCGTTTATGAAGCTGAAGGAGCCTTGGCGCGTCCCAACTGCACGCCACGGGACCCTGACCAAGCGTCGCTCCTGGACGCTTAAGCTGCGTCCACACTACAGCGTTGACAGCTTCAAAAACAGTTTCCAACGCGTCTGCCCATTCACTTTGAATGGGGTGACGTCACGTTGCCTCGCTTTTCGCCGAACTGAATTGTGGGTAGCATAGCGGTCCGTCTCCGCCGGAGACGCCGGAGTAGCCAGCGCCAGCCAATCAAATCCCGTTTCTGACAATCTGACAGCTCAAGCGCTAGCCAATCAAACCGCGTCTAAGCTGGGAGAGATATCCCGCCGTTCATTTCTATATTTCAAAAAAAGATGGAGGAGAAACTAATTATCGCCGTAGCAAATCACCCGGTTTTGTATGACCAGAACCTCTTCACCTACCGGGATACAAACCGGAGGAACCAGGCATGGAGGGAGGTGGCAGAGACAGTGGGTGAAACTGGTAGGTTTTCGTCTGTTTGGGGAGTTTATATATATATATTGCTCGCATAAAATCCCCGGGGTTTTTTGCTTTGTATGTCGGGGGTGGGAGATTCATGTGATTGGTTGTTGGTCGCGTTGCTCGAATAAAATCCCCAAGCTTCAGACACGCCCAGCTCCAAGCTTTTTTTGAAGCTGTAGTGTGGACGCTCCGTTAGGGAGTGAGAGTGTGTTGGCCTGCCTGCCTGCCTGCCAAATCTACCTCAGCTGCTCATGTTTCCACTTTAACTACTTACTGAAGCCTGCCTTTATAAAAAGAGATGCAAGATGTTAAATATAGGTGTAATAACAGTGTAATTATGGTGTTATAACAATGTAATTATCGTCATTATAGGTGTTACATGGGTGTAATATGGGTCTTATAACAATGTAATGTAATGTAATTTTCCTAATGTGATTGCCCCTTTAAGGGTTAAAAAAAGTTTGTTGTGCCAATTATGTAATAAGGAGACCAAATCTAATGGCTCACAGATTATCGGTGACCTGATCTCATGATTATTACATATTTTTTAAACTTGCATTCTTTCTAGTGGCGAGCGTAGGTTCACTCCACTGGTTGCAAATAGAAGTCAGATTTAATCTAGTTTAGAGAATTAATTAATTGACCACGATTCTAACTTGACTGGCGATATTATTTTCTTGATCTGTAAATTATGTCCCATTTTTTTGTAAAAAAAGACGAGGAAGCAGAGTGTGCTTCAGGGTACAATCTAAAGAATACTCCATTGAGTGTTGTCTGTGTTTTGGTTTTAGAAGTTAAACCTTTTCACAGTGTTTTTTTTGTTAATAAAGTTTTAACAAGTTGGTTGCCACACATATCTGGATCAAAGATTATGGTTATGTTGTCCCATACTGATCCCGATGGCTGAATGGTAACATCTGACTTTGTGCCATGTTAATTTATGTCTCTCTGTCTGCCTGTCCTTCTCTCTAACTGTGTGTCTGTCTGCCTGTCTCTCTCTCTCTCTGTCCTTCTCTCTGTGTGTCTGTCTGCCTGTATCTCTCTCTCTGTCCTTCTCTATAACTGTGTGCCTGCCTGCCTGCCTGTCTGTCTGTCTGTCTGTCTGCCTGTCTCATCCACTGTCACATTCAACAGCAGGCGGAACTTTTAAGCAGGGACAAACAGAGCACTGCGCCAGACGTTGTCTCTGTATTTCCTCTCGGTTGCACTATTTGTCAGAGGAGGGGCGGGGAGAGAGAGTGAGGAGTGTCTTATCGCAGCAATACGACTGGAAGTGAACAATAAATAAAAGCTCAGTGTTTGACTTCACAGAATAACCAAAGTCTTTCCCATGCCTTCCATATTTATTCTGATTATGTTCAGGGTTTGTTTTGAATGTGTCATTAAATACGTATTCTCCCATATTTATTTATTATTACCTATGTAGATTCTGCTTTTGGAAAATTGGCAATGCAATGTGACATTTAATTTCACAAAAAGCATCAGTTTACATACAAAAATTATTAAATAACTGGTATTAGTCATACATTAATTAGATATAAATATAGTTATCCAAGGAATAGCCTCCAACAGCTATTTGAATACTGAGTATGATTATCACCTGTGTTAATCCATGTTGGGAATGTGTGAAATCGCAGTCTGTCAAATCATAAAATTGTATAATTATCTTTTTATGCAGCTTTTTTAACTGAAAAATTCCACCAGATACTAGGGTTAAACAACAAACCTAGCTTTACCCTGTTCTCAGGCTTTGTGCGCCTAAACTAGGCTAAACACTTCATATTCATTTTTACCTTATCATTGCCTTAGTCACTAGCGCTTTTATTGTGAAAGACTCAACCGGATGGGTGTAGTGTGTTATGTGTATCTTAACTCTCTGTAGTGATATCATGGCTGTGGCGTCTCTGCTGGTTCCTGAAGTCAAACGGGCTCTGTGGACAGACAGCAGGAGAGAACCTGCCGCAGTGTGCTGCTGAGACCTCCATTTAAAAAATAATAATAACGGTAAGACAGAAACAAACATGCACCTGTCTGTTAGCTAGCAGTCCGTTCTCAGGTGAACAGCCACAGGTGACACACTGAGCGCTCGTTTTGTCGGTGGCGGTCTCCCGCCGACGGTTGGTCTGGTGGGTGGGGGCGGGGGAGGCAGCCCGCCTCAGACAGCGAGACTGGGGTTGCGTTCCGATAATCCAAAAATTAGCTCCTAAATTCTAACCCTAACTCCTATTCCTTGACCTCTGAGTGAAACGTCACGGGGTTAAGGGATAGTGGATAGGAGAATTCAAAAGGATTTAGGAGAAGAGACTGCGGTACTTTAGAGAATCCGACTGCACTTTCACTATCCGACGTGTTTATGATGCGCCAGCGGACGTCATGAATGTGCGTCTGCTGCTGTGGGGAAACTATGGAAACTACAGTTTTCTATACAGCGGACTACAACATGGATGTTTAATAAGAACGAGGGACTACTGTAAACTCATCTAGAGACTCTGCACCGTGCTCTGACGCTGTTGCTTTATGCTTTATGAACGTGGACAACAGAGAAACATATTCTTCATGACCAAAGTTGGAATTGAAATAAAAAAGGAAAGTGAAACTTATGCTCGTCACCCTCTCCCTCCGGTCCACATTAATACAAATGATCCCAATACGTATGATTGTATGAACTATTAAAAGATCTTAAAATAAATACAAATGTATTTATTATAAACGTTAGTCCTTAACATCTATCACTGTGTATATCACCATTCAAACATCTTTTAAAAGTTGAACAAACCCCACACAGCTCAGTAAAGACTGTGCAATGTTGACTTTATTTGATCATTTCAGTAAAAACTAACGTTCATATTTCTCTTTTTGATTATAATACTGATGAACGTTCAGAAAAAAGCACTTTGGCAACTTACCACATACGTTTTAAAATGCGTAATAAGCACCGTAACTTTCATGATATAATTTCTCCCATTATCGTTTGTGTCCGTGAACGGCCGACTGTTGAGTGACCGCAAATGCTGCGGCTGCAATGCATTGTGGGGCAGCATTTTCTCCTCTCCTTTCGGTTAGGGAGGTCCAGTGGTTCCTAAGCTAAAGGAGGTTATAAAGGAAGTTTGAAACTTCCTTTCCTTTCATTTGGAGAATTGAAACGGCACTTATCATGGCTGCCAGTGACGTACTTCCGGGTCATTTCACTTGGTTAGGAAGGTTCCTAAGCTAAATGGACTATTGGAATGGGCCCCGAGCCTGATGTGCTGTCTCTCTGCCGGGGAGACCTCTGCCTTTCCCGCAGAAATGCTGTTAGATAGTCCCTCGGTTGTCCACTATCCCTTAACCTCCTGGGCCTGTACAGTATAAAGGCGGCAACATGGCTGCCACTGGCCCTGCACAACCTGCTGGCTCTTTTTTTCAGTCTAAATGATGACTGTATAGTTAATACACATTTGTAAAAAAACATCACCCGGACTGCATTCTTTGTACTGTCTTAAAACCTTTCCTTGGAATATGTTATGAATTGTAATGTGTCCTTGGGTGCTTTGAAAGGCGCCCCTAAATAGAATGAATTATCATTATTATGTAGTATTATTATTATTATTATTATTATTATTATCTGAAACGATGTAATAACTTTTAAAACTTTTTCCAGTCACTTGCCCCATGCATTCAGCAGCAGCAGGCCATTCACTTTGATTTGATCCCATTATGAAATGTCATCATTTCGACAATAAAGAAATGCTACATAAACGTTATCTTGCACATTTTATCTATCTCTGCTGAGCAGCCTCTGAGGATTACAGCAGAAAACATTACAGTCAGGGACGTGCACAGACATTGTGGGGGGCGGGAGCTCAAGTGAGAAAAAGGGCACTCATTTATAAAAAAAAATGTAAAACAAAAAGTTAAATATAGTTGCACATCCCTGACTTACTGACCAATTTATTTGAATACTCTCACACTCACGCAATTGTTTAATACTCAGATGAATTCTACAAAATGTATTTTTTTTAATATTGAAGTTGAAAGCATCAATCTGGTGCACTTTGAGAGCAAAATGAAGAGATCTATGGATACATCTCTCAGCACTAGGGGTGTAACGGTACACGTACCCGTACCGAAATTATTCGGTACGGGCCCTTCGGTTCGGTACAGGTGTGTACCGAAGTGTACCGAACGAATATAACGTTAAACGTAAAAAAATGAGAACGTGAACAACTTTTTGGAAGTAATCTCAGGTGCTGCGTCGCAGCATTCAGAGTAATTTGGTCACATTGGGTTCAACGCGTCATAGAGCGAGCAAGTCATTTCATTGGATGAGAGGCATACTATGAGAGCTGGTCAGAGGGATGCGTTCAAATGTAGTCAGTAATTTGAGGAACTGTCGAAAATTAATGGCGAACGCAGATAAAGTTGAGCTCGAAAATCCTCCAGCATCATTGAAGTCTCCGGTTTGGGAACATTTTGGTTTTGCAGTTACGTACAAGGATGACGGACAAAGACAGGTGGACCGAACCAAAGCTGTTTGTCGGCAATGTTCAACTAAAATTGGTTACGCGGCTGGCAATACATGAAACTTGCACTCATATGAAAAGGCATCACCCGAACGTGAATATCACCGGTACCAAAAGAAAAAAGACTGAAGTGCAAACCCAACTCCCACTAGCGTGTAAGCCTCCACCACTCGCAAAGAGTTCAGACCGAGCCAAAGCTATTACAAACGCCAAATATCCTTATGTTGCCATGTTAGCAAAGCGCTACCTGGCTGTATCTGCTACCTCTGTCCCTAGCGAGAGAGTGTTCTCCACAGCAGGAGACATTGTTAGTGCCAGCAGATCTGCCCTTTCGGCAAGCAATGTGGACAAGTTAATTTGTCTTTAAAAAAACATGAAAATACAATGACAAGCAAGTCATAATGTCAAGCTGGCTGCTTAGGAACTAGTACAGTACAGTTCAAATACAGATTATTTCAGTTCATCGAAAAGCTGCACCTTAATGTTTATTTTATTATATTTTGTATTTATTTGAGTGAATATTCACAGTTTAATAATAATTAAAAACCCAAAACGAATAGTTTATGTTTTGTGAGTACTAGTAGCCTACAGTAAAGTTCAAATACAGATTATTTCAGTTAATCGAAATGCTGCACCTTAATGTTTATTTTATTATATTTTGTATTTATTTGAGTGAATACATTATTCACAGTTTAATAATAATAAAAAATATATATATATATATATATATATATATATATATATATATGTTTTGTTTTGTGAAAAAAAATTCTGCTGTACCGAAAACGTACCGAACCGAACCGTGACCAAAAAACCGAGGTACGTACCGAACCGAAATGTTTGTGAACCGTTACACCCCTACTCAGCACCCATATGAAACAGAACTGTAAGCAGATTTTATTTTTCTTATATTTTACAAATCACTCCCCTTTTAAACTGTAGGCTATTCTTGTTTTACTGTCATATAGTATTTCACAACTGTTTATTCTCTCTGGCTGTCCATCTCACAATGTTCACTGGCAATAGGAATATCATTCAGAAGAATTATAATTTAATGCAAAAATCTGTCGCAAAAAGAGGTTGCACATTTACATTCAGGTGTTGTTATGGCAACGTCAGTGAACAAACAGCCACATTTACTGCTGTAAATACATGCAAACATGCTGTCGACACGTAAAGCAGTGGCAACTATGCCACCATTTCAGCTGACTTTTTCTCAGAAATACTGTCACATAACATCCATATATTTCAGTGCTAGGTTGATGCTTAGCTAAGATAACTATGAAACACTTTAACTGACAGGACTCCGGATCAACTGTGAACTGTAAGGTAGCTTCTAGCTTCATGTCGAACAGTAAGTCAACATTTCCCAGAGAGCTTTCTTTGAAATCACCAGGTAACGCTAAAAAACATTACATTTAGATTGTATGACAAAGTGTTTATTTAATATATCTGGCTAGCTATAGCTACTTGCTAACGATTTAGCGTACCCCCCGCGATTCAAAGTAACGTCAACGTAGCTGTAATGTATGCTTTGCTTACATGTTCGCATAACTTGGAAGTTTACTGACATTTACATTCCTTGTTTATCTGGCTCAAGTGGTGACTCTGGGGTTGTTGTGTGAGCCACCACTTGAGAATTGTCGTCTTTTTTAAGAAAAAATGTTCTTATGTCCATCTTCAAAAACTCTTGAGTCCGACTGACAGTTTAAACATTGTCCCAGCTCACAGGATAGGTACCTGTCAGCCAATAAGACAGATGTTTATTTCCATTCAACTCTCTGGTTGGTCTGGTGTCTTGCCTCTGTTGCATTCACTGAACACGGGAAATTACAATTCTGCCGTCCTCTCATGATGAGGTTCAGGTAAAGCACGGTTAATGTATTATATTACAGAAAAAACATTCAGAGCTTTAGGCGATGCCACTGGGCGGTCCTGTATAATAACTAGGGCTGTCAGTCGATTAAAATAGTTAATCGCGATTAATCGCAAATTAATCGCACATTTTTTATCTGTTCTAAATGTTCCTTAGAGGGATATTTTTCAAGTTTTTAATACTCTTATCAACATATGAGTGGACATATGCTTTATGCAAATGTTTGTTTATTATCATTTTATCAATGACAAATATTCTCATGAATATTAAACATAACAACCTCTGAACATTAAAAATATCCCCCTCAATTCAACCTGGTACCTCTCTCATACAATACAATAATACAGTGTATGTATGTATGTATGTGTGGCCTAGCATTACTATACTTGTGAGGACCTAAATCTGTTTACACAGTCACGTGTGGGGACTCGCCTCCCTTATGGGGACACATTTGAGGTCCCCATGAGGGGAATCATTCATTTTAGGGTGAAGACTTGGTTAGGATTAGGGTAAGGGTTAGGGTTAGGCATGTGTTGGTTATGGTTAAGGTTAGGATAAGTCTCCAGGAAATGCATGTAAGTCAATGTAATGTCCCCTGAAGTGATGTGTGTGTGTGTGGCCTAGCATTACTATACTTGTGGGGACCTAAATCTGTTTACACAGTCACGTGTGGGGACTCGCCTCCCTTATGGGGACAAATTGGAGGTCCCCATAAGGGGAATCATTAATTTTAGGGTGAAGACTTGGTTAGGTTTAGGGTTAGGGTTAGGGTTAGGCATGTGTTGGTTATGGTTAAGGTTAGGATAAGTCTCCAGGAAATACATGTAAGTCAATGTAATATCCCCTGAAGTGGTGTGTGTGTGTGTGTGTGTGTGTGTGTGTGTGTGTGTGTGTGTGTGTGTGTGTGTGTGTGTGTGTGTGTGTGTGTGTGTGTGTGTGTGTGTGTGTGTGTGTGTGTGTGTGTGTGTGTGTGTGTGTGTGTGTGTGTGTGTGTGTGTGTGTGTGTGTGTGTGTGTGTGTGTGTGTGTGTGTGTGTGTGTGTGTGTGTGTGTGTGTGTGTGTGTGTGTGTGTGTGTGTGTGTGTGTGTGTGTGTGTGTGTGTGTGTGTGTGTGTAGACACTGTGATGGATCGTTGGAGCTATGTGCAACTCAAGGCATATGCTCGAACATTGACGCTGCAATCATGTTGCTCGCACTATCCGTGCTGAGTGTGCTGACTTTTCGTACAATGTCCCACTGACTGGCTTCATGCATAAAGTCAAGTGCTCGGCGCAGTTGTCGGCGAAATGTCGCTCGTCTATTTTCATTTAAACAGCTCCTTATATCCGTTAGCGCAGCTAGCTAGCACCAGGGGGGGGGGGGGGGGCGCGCAACTTCCAACAGGAGTCATTTGGGGGGGCTCTTGGGAAAAAAGGTTGGGAACCCCTGCCCTAGTCCATATTGAGATATTGATACTAGCGCCACCTGTCAAAATCCCATTTCGGAATACATTTACAAAGTCATAAGTCATAACTCCGAATGACATGACATTTTGCACACATATCCGGGTGGACCTGTTCTACAAATAATCCTCTTGGAACCCTAAGCTCCGCCTACATTTTAATTAGCATAATTTACATAAACAGTTAAATATTCACTAAAATTTCAATTTTCAGATTTTCAACACCAAACTTCGTATACAGCATCGGTGGAGGGTCAGACACATTACCGTAGAAAATTAGCATGTTCAGACGATACATATTGCCGCCATTAATCAAAACGTACTCGCAAAAAGGCGGGGCTTAGAAAGAAATACTCATAACTCATTAACAATGTATCCAAACATCACATATTTTGGTGGATAGGTTCAGTCTGTCTTCGGGAATAGGCACACCAAAGCATTTTCATTTTGGACAATAGGGAGCGCCAAAAACACCACCAATTTATAACTCAAGAACGGTTGGACGAATGTTTATTTTTTATTTTTACACATACTCTGGGGGTGACTACGAACTGAGATTTAAAGTGTCGCAACAAATGCATAATGTGGGCGTGGCCTATACACTTTTTTTAATTAGGGGGTTACCCCTAACCCACACACACACCGGCTCTGCTGGCGGCAAATTCAATTACAACAGACATCTATACACTCCACAACACACACCTACTGACTGTACAACACACACATACAGCTCCTAAAGCATATAATGTATATCAGGCTACAGCCCTTGTATATTTTATTATGTGAAGCACTATATGGTTTCATAAAAAATATCTACTGTTTACTTGTAGATATCTACTAAAGCATACAAATAAAGTGTGTAATGTAGGCCTGTTACATATATTATTGCTGTTCTCACTGTAAACATCGTGTCTGAATGAAACTAGTTGTATGCAAAAAAATAGCCTAACATCCAGGGGAGATGTGATTAGTGAGTAAACAAACGGTAAAGGGCAGAAAGTCTGATGCACATTTCATCATCTTAAATAACTTATATTCACAATGGAAACAGTTTGCAGAGCTGTGCTTTGTTGACATAAATCCAGCCATGCGTCACGCCTCTTTTAAACATCACTGTTGGCCGAAATTAATCTCCGGAGAATACTTCAGTGTACCCTCGGTTATAGCTCCTCTAGAGACACTTCTCTCTCCTCTAAATCAGTGTATCCTCGGTTACGGCTCCTCCAGACAGCCTCCTCGATAATCGATCCTCAACGAGCCTTTAGAGAAATTTGTTTTCCTTTGAGGCGGCGCGCCGACATCCGTTTCCGGGTCGCTGCCGGAGGACCTGGGAGTCTGGGACGCAAAAATTATAGAAATGAGAAATGGCTCATTTCCCAGGACTCGCGCGCGTCTGCTTGACGCCGGGACGACCGGCTGCTCTCCCCGACAGGCGCACGGACGCAAGGGCCCGCTCATCACTGCGCGCACATCTGCGACCGCAGTCTTAATTACTGTTGATGTTGTTGTTGTTGTTGTTCCTGATTTTCACCAGCAGACATCAGTAGAGGGGATGTCTTTTGGCCAGTAGTCATTTTGTTGTACCTCACAGGAGATGTGTGTGTTCCCCTCCTGCAGTGTGAGCGGACAGGTGTGTGTTATAGCTGTGTGTCGGGCAGCCTGGCTGCCTGCTGCCTCCTGATGAATGAAGAGCTCTCCGGGACACAGCTGATGCAGGTCAGAGGTCATCCCACTGCCAGAACACACAGTCATAACACTAACACATAATTCACACACACTCCATGAATGTGGTCTTTGTTTTCCAACAATTTCTGTTGGATTTAGGGCATTTGTATTAAAATCAACCTGCAGAGATTTAGTTTATTCACTACGGCTGTGATCTTTGTTATCAAAGATGGGTAATCATCATGTGGGGAGGCAGACCGAGAGGAGGCAGAGGTTAAGGACACAACAACATATACGATTTGAGTTGGCTGCTGAAACCAAGTTAAATGCACCAAATAGAGTGGTGCAGTGATGAAGTATTTTTGTAGACCGACCCAGAAGTTAGCATTGCAAGCTCCCTCTACAAAAAGCTATGGGATTCTTAATTGTTTCATGGATTATGGCTGAAAATAATCTCTGTATTTTATGTCGTAGAACAAAATCTCTTCAGCTTGTGTTTACCACAGACTTTGTTTCAGGCTAACAACCAAAAAAGATTTGGGAAAAACTTAGATTTTGAAACAAGGTACCGGGAAGTGGTAAAATGCTGACTCTATGCCACTCTATTGCTACATGCACACACCTCTCACCCTGCCCGCGTTTGAACAGTGTGCAATACTGTCTTTTGGGTTGATTTGTACACAGCACAGTGTGTTCACGTTTTTTGATATTTCCCAAAAATGTGGATGTTTGAGTGTCAATGAACACGTCCATATACAGTTTAATCTCCGCCTATGCTCACAACTGCTTGACAGCATGACTCTAACTTAACTTTTAACAGACAGCAGGACGTTGTCACTTTGAACAGTGTTTGGTGAATCTGCTGTGATTTATTTTTCTCCTCAGGGCATGCAGGTGTTTCTGATAATATGATGAATTATCCCCAATGAGTCCCCATAAGTAAGTTGAGATATTTCTGTAAAACTAATTAGACTCAAACTAGTAATCTGAAATAATGTGTCTGTTCCCAAATGATGGAGTTCAACAGATGCAATCAGTGGGAACAGTAAACATGACAGCAGTGTTGAATGTTTGTTCCATTTGTCCCTGAAGGAATCACAAGAGCAGTTTGAGTCCCAACTCCAAGGTCCTGATGCAGCGTAACATCGTGGGCTGCAGGATCCAGCACGTGTGGAAGGAAAGGGGGGGGCATGTGATGTGGAAAGGAACCGTGCTGGACCAGGTGAGGAAAGAGTCCAGTGTATCTCCATGTGTGTCAGCACTAGTGTTAATTTCGTCAGCTATTTTTTTATTTAGTTTTAGTCTTAGTCCTGTGTTAAATTTCCTTTTTAGTTTTAGTCATATTTAGTCACCTTCATCCTGTTTTTATTTAGTCAAGTTTTAGTCGACTAAAAGTCTGAGCATTTTAGTCTTATTTTAGTCGACTAAAACAGTAAACATTTTAGTCAAGATTTAGTCGACTAAAAGTCTGAGCATTTTAGTCTTATTTTAGTAATGTAGTAATGGGCGCGCTCATGTGATTGGCTTAGAATGAAGGAGACATCTGATTGGCTATAGATAGAAAAAATTACAAGTACGAATCGGCTGACCGTCAGGGGAGTCTCAAAAAACCCACACACGAATGCACAGCGATCCGTGCACAGAGAGTGGTTTGTGTTTGCAGGTTCAGGGGATTTAAACGGGAAACTAATAAGTGAGGATCAAAAAGACATATGTAAAACTTTTTTCTGTATTTGGATTTTATTTACATGTATATGAAACGGAATACATTTGTGTGTGCATTGAAAAACACAAGTATGGATCCGGAAATACAAGTGTGAATCCTTCTGTGTGCATGTGTGTATTATGAGACTGTTCTGAGCCCATAGTTAAGGGATAGTGGATAGGAGAATTCAAAAGGACTTAGGAGAAGAGACTGCGGTACTTTAGAGAATCCGAATGCACTTTCACTATCCGACGTGTTTATGATGCGCCAGCGGACGTCATTTTGTGCGTCTGCTGCTGTGGGGGAACTATGGAAACTACAGTTTTCTATACAGCGGACTACAACATGGATGTTTAATAAGAACGACGGACTCATCTAGAGACTGCACCGTGCTCTGATGCTGTTGCTTTATGCTTTATGAACAACAGAGAAACATATTCTTCATGACCAAAGTTGGAATTGAAATAAAAAAGTGAAACTTATGCTCGTCACCCTCTCCCTCCGGTCCACATTAATACAAATGATCCCAATACGTATGATTGTATGAACTATGAAAAGATCTTAAAATCAATACAAATGTATTTATTATAAACGTTAGTCTTTAACATCTATCACTGTGTATATCACCATTCAAACATCTTTTAGAAGTTGAACAAACCCCACACAGCTCAGTAGGGTTGCCAACCGTCCCGTATTAGCCGGGACGCCCCGTATTAGCCGGGACGCCCCGTATTAGCCGGGACGCCCCGTATTTGAGCCAAAAGGGGCGTGTCCCGTACGGGACTTTGTTTGTCCCGGACTAAAGGGAAAAATAAAAAATATTTTTTTGTTTGCGCGCAATGCAGTGTGTCTGGCTGCGTGCCTGTATGTTTGTGTGCTGGATGCGAAGGGCGCTAGGACCGCTCAGTTGACAGGGCAGGCACAATGCTCGCACGTATGTGTGTGTGTGTGAGATTTACCCTGGTGGGCTGTGGGCGCGGCATCATTGTTTGTGTGGCGTGTGTGTACGTGTGTGAGAGAGAGTCAGTCAGCTGATTGATGGGAAAATGGTTGGTTGAAGGATAACATTAAGTCTAATAATGATGTACCGTGCATGTTCACATCATGTATACTTTGCATTACTTAATACCATTTTTCAAATATTTAATTTTTTAACATTTTGGACAAAATAGCCAATTGTACATCGAGGTGCCCAGATGTCCCTAGTGCCCACCTATCCGATTTGAACATGCTGATGTACAATGTGATGTAGTAGCCTAATGCAGGTGTAAGATCATTGTGTTTGTAATGTGTTATAGGTATGCATAGTTTTCTATGCATTTTGAGGGTTTTGGGGGGTTTGACCCCCCAAAACATTTTCGAACCCTAGGGGCTGGCTCCCCCAAAATAATTAAATAACATAACCCTAACCTAACACTAACCCTAAAACCGAAATAAAGTAACAAAAAAAAGTAACTAAATCCGCCAGAAACCCAAAAATCTTCGCGTGCACACGCACGGGGGACACATGCATGTGTCCCGAAGTTGGCAACCCTACAGCTCAGTGAAATGTTGACTTTATTTGATCATTTCAGTAAAAACTAACGTTCATATTTCTCTTTTTGATTATAATACTGATGAACGTTCAAAACAAAGCACTTTGGCAACTTACCACATACGTTTTAAAATGCTTAATAAGCACCGTAACTTTCATGATATAATTTCTCCGTCATAATCGTTTGTGTCTGTGAACGGCCGACTGTTGTGTGACGTGAAATGCTGTGGCTACAAGGCATTGTGGGGCAGCATTTACTCCTCTCCTTTCGGTTAGGGAGGTCCAGTGGTTCCTAAGCTAAAGGAGGTTATAAAGGAAGTTTGAAAACCTCCTTTCCTATCATTCTAGAGAATTCGAACGGCACTTATCATGGCTGCCACTGAGGGACTTCCGGGTCATTTCACTCGGTTAGGAAGGTTCCTAAGCTAAATGGACTATTTGACTGCAGCCCTTAACACCGCATTGCGTGGTGGAGTCACGCACTCTGCTACATGTACGTGTCTGCACCACGCAAAAAAAAACAATGCAAAGTGAATGAGGCTCCTTTGTCGTGGTAGACACACGCATTTCTACAACGTCCCGCAGTGAGCTTTTATTCTATAAAACGTTTTTAAAATCTACTTTATAGCTTGTAGTAACTCACGGGAGGCTTCTTTTATTTTATTTGTATTCATAATAATTTTTATTTTTCGTCAGAATGTAAAAATTACATTAGTTACGAATTTTTGTTCTCAAAAAACAGTGCATTGTGTGTAATGCAACTGTGATTTTTATTAAATTAGTTAGTTTTTAAGGAAGGCCAGAGCTTCAGCTGTGTTAAATAGATTGTTCCCTTTAGTTAACGTTATTTAAAATATGTTTTATGTTTGTCGATTCTTGTTCTGTTTTCTGTGACTAAAGAGACATGCTACCATGGAAACCAAACAATGGTGTAGCTGTATTAAAGTCCGAGTGGAAACAGTCCTGAGTAAATCTGATTTAGTCAGAAATCGGGAGAAATGCAGGAGAAATATGACCCCGGGAGGAAACCGGGAGAGGGCTATGAAATCGGGAGTCTCCCGCGAAAATCGGGAGGTTGGCAAGTATGGTGTGCACCACGACAAAGGAGCCTCATTCACTTTACATTGGGGTTTTTTGCGTGGTGCAGACACGTAAATGTAGCAGAGTGCGTGACTCCACCACGCAATGCGGTGTTAAGGAGTCGTGGTGGAGACGCATTCTGGTGAGACCAGGTTGCTTTTTTTGCAGGAGTGACAAGGGGTAGCACGGGTAACAGCAGTGTTTCCCACAGATCTGAAATATACTTGGGGGGGTGGTGGTAGCGGGGGGATTTGAGGTAACGTGCCTTTGTGACGTGCAACAACATTAACATTAACCTTTCAGTTGGTCGCTTGTTAGCAGACCCTTCACGCCATGGCAGAGCGATCAGGTACAGGCAGGGCCCATAGTGATAGCCCTATAGTTTAAATCTACCACCCACAAATAAACATATGGACATGGGTTACTATTTAAAAACAATGGTAAATGTATTTAGGAACCTATTCATGTGATTTTAAGTGGGGGTGGACCTCAAATCCTCTAGGGGGGTCCGGGGGCATTTTTAAATAAAAGTTAAATGCATCAATCTGGTGCATTTTGAGGGGAAAATAAAGAGACTAGATCTATGGGAACACCTATATGAAACAGAACTGTACACATTTCAATAATCATAAAATCATGGCCATAACCAATAACATACCATATCCAATATGAAAAAACACTGAAACTTGTTTATTTATTTATTTATGGTTCATTTATAGTTGTGAGTGTGTCTGGGCTCCTGAATCAGCCTCTCCTGTCTCCCTCCTCTCCCTTCTCCTATTTGAGGCAGCAGCAAAGATAGTTTTAGCTCTCAACAAGTTTTTAAAAGTGTATCTTACCTTTTTTCACCTAGTTAACTTTTTTAATTTTTATTCATGCATATTTTACTAATCACTGGCTGGCTCCAATGGAAATATGTGTTTACATAAATGGTGACCAAACCGTTTGAAACCCACTGAGATAACTTAGACTAAGTGAACTATCTAAACACTCAGAGTCCTTTACCTCACCTGAGCTGTAGTTATCAGCCTCTCAGTCTGACTGGAGAGGACTCTCCCTCCACATTATTGTAGAAACATCTTCTTCTTATATCCGTTAGCGCAGCTAGCACCAGATGCTAATAACAACAGCGCCGGTACCGGTGCTCGCTCCCACGCTCACTCACACTTTGGCTGTGAGCTGCGGGCGCCTGATAAGCCAACATCCCCATTAGTCACATTTAATCAAAAATAATTGTTATGTTGGATGGAATTGCTACCTTCCTTCTTTATCTGGGCTTGGGACTGGCAAAGTGAGCCAAAAGAGACACACTGCAAGCCAGGGCGGGATCAGCAATGGCTTTGCGCATGCGCGATTAATATTCAGTCTGGACCTATGGTCTGGACGCGTAGTGTGTCTCTTTTGGGTCACTTTGCCACCTCTATGCTCGAGTGCAGCTGCTTAGCGAGGCTGCCTGTGAGTGCTATGGGACGGCGGAGGGGCTCAGCACCCGCTGCTCGTTGAGGAAAGTAACTGCGTAACGATTACGTGCTATCACGTCAGATTCTCCAAACACCAGAAAAGTCTCCAATAACACCAGAAAAAGTAGCTGGATTTGTCATAGTCGCTTTTGACAAAAAAAAGTAGCCGGAGGGGTTGGAAAGTCGCCCGATTTAGCGAGAAAGTCGCCAAGTTGGACTCTGAGATAACTTAGACTAAAGTGAACTAACTCAAACGGTTTGTAGGCTAAACAAATATTTCCACAAGGCACACCTTTATAATTATTAGGATGAATAAAAACAGGTTTGAAATCATTTCAATGTATACTATAGGACAGTAAACCAAAAATATATTTAAAACTGGAGGGATTAAAAAATATGCATAAATAAATAAATGTTAACTAGGTAAAATAAGATATGAATGAACAACAACAATAAAATAAGTTACATGTATTTGTTATTGGCTATGGGTTATTGGTTATGTCCACATACTTATTTGGTTATTAAAATGTAAACCGATCTTTTTCATATGGGTGTTTAAAGTTGTACAGGGACCGACCCCTGGTTCCCACAGCTATGCATGGAAGCTGCTTTGGTGCACACATGATCACAGTATAGGGAAATACGGTGTGAGATGCAAGTCCACATTTATTGATAAAGATACATGTAATGTAGGGTGATGACGTCATAACATATGACGATCAATATGACATTCAAAGCTTTATTTGGTAATGGAAGCTTTAAAATGACTACCTGCTTCCAAACCCTTAAAGTGTTTATCACTGCTGACGCAAAGACACCAACCTAAAGGATCTATAGGGTGTGTGGAAAGAAGCTCAGGGACAAGGAACTAATTATTTGAATGTATGTCCATCAGGTGCCAGTGAACCCGTCTCTCTTCCTGATAAAGTACGATGGTTTCGACTGTGTTTATGGTCTGGAGCTCCATAAAGACGAGAGGGTTCAGGGCCTGGAGGTGCTCCCCGACAGACTAGGTAAGACCCCAAGCTGCTCAGTTAGTGTGCTAGTTTAGCAGTCTTTTCACTTCTTGTTGCCGGTGAACAGTTTATTATCCATACCCTTTTTACTCTCACATGTCTAATTGAAAGTGCTGCCTGTAGTCTTTGTCTGTGTGTAATATGTCTGGATTTTCCTGGAGGCCCCTCACTGGTTGACACATCTCGCCGAAAATAAGTGGAACTGGCGCAGAACATTTAGCTTATTATTGATGCTAACACATATAGCAATAATTGCCCCCTGCTTATGGATATACTTATTGGCATCCAGCTTAGCATGATGAAAGTGTGAAGCTGAATGACAAGCTGAGCCGGACAGGTCACATCCAGTCATTTTGTTTTCAAGTCCTTCTTGGTGGTGGGGGGGGGAGCTTTATTCACTTTGCCTACTAAAGGAAAAGAGCAGAAATTTGTCACAGCGGCTCCCGTTCTCCCAGCAGCTAAGTCCCGTGCCTCAGACGGCAGCCTGGCGGACACCATGATTGGGAGAGCTGTAGAGCACATGTTCGAGACAGAGGAGGGGCCAAAGGAGGAGTGGAGGGGGATGGTGCTGGCCCGGGCCCCCATCATTACCACCTGGTTCTACATCACCTACGAGAAGGACCCAGTCCTCTACATGTACCAGCTGCTGGAGGACTACAAAGAGGGAGACCTCCGCATTATGCCTGACTCCAGTGAGTTCACTAAGCTGCTTCTACACAGTTTGAGGTGGAGATTTAGAGAGGAGGGCCCTTCACCTGCATTTGGATAATATCTGAATGAGTATTCCTCAGAGGTGGAAGAAATACTCAGATGATTTACTTAAGTAAAAGTAGTAATACTACAGTGTAAAAGTACTCTGCTACAAGTAGAAGTAATCCATATGTTTTAAATTATTGTGTTATAATTATTGACGCATTAACCCTAAACCTAACCCTTTGAATTACTTTATATACTTCTGGGCAGCTTAACTAATTATGATATATGATTGATTATGTATTAGTTGATTTACTTTTTGTATTGATAATCTAAATCTGCAAATGAAGAAGTAACTTAATCTGTAAAATCAATGTAGTGAGTAATAAGAAAAAAGTAAAGTACAAATATGACAATGTTTTACTTAAAGGTGGGGTATGTCATTTATTTCAGAAACACTTTTTGTTATATTCCATGGAATGCTCTTAACATCCCGATAGCAATGAATATATTAAATGCTTTGACGATAAATGCATACAAAAATGTCATCTGTGGAAGCCGTAGCACTGTAAAAAGCAAGACCAAGCCGGCCTAACCAAGCCGGCCCGGCTAAAATAACTGGATGGCAGAGGCAGATTTTTTCCGGTTGTGTACTTTCAAATTCTAGCGCACTCGAGCTGGTTTCTCCAAAATTACATCCCCCACCTTTAAGTGCAGTACTTGAGTAAATCTACTTAGTTACTTTCTTCCTCTTAAAAGGCAGGCGTGCTGTGGTAAAAAATAATAATTCTATGTGTATTATTTTATATTATGAACTTAAAAATGGTTATGCCAATTTAATGCATTCACATAATTTATTTAAATGTTATGTTTACATTTTAGTTTTAGTTTAGAAGTAAGATGGCATAGAAATATCAATTCAGTCAGAAAGCTTTAATCTGTCCAGTTTCACATGGAGAGTCAGAAGCATGCAAGATGATGTTAATATGAATAATGTGTGTGTGGGCCTGCAGACGACAGCGCCCCCTCGGAGCGGGAGCCTGGGGAGGTGGAGGAGAGCCTGGTGGGGAAACAGGTGGAGTACGCCAGGGAAGACGGAGGCAAGCGGACCGGCATGGTCATCCACCAGGTGGAGGCCAAGCCCTCCGTCTACTTCATCAAGTTTGATGACGACTTCCTTATCTACGTTTACGACCTGCTCAAAACTTCGTAAGACTTTGCAGGCATCTCGTCATTTTAATTCCAAAATGGATGAAGTGTGAGGAGCCGAGCTTCACTCCCCAGGGCTCGACATTAAGGACTGAGTCTAAGGTGGCCCGGGGCCATCTAGTATTTAGCTCGGGCAATGAAGCCTCACCTGCTGGTTGCACGATCGGGCAATCTATTATGCCAGTATCATGCAGCTCGCGGATCCAGTAATGAGTGACCCGACAGTAAAACTAAACATGTATAACTAGTTTAGGTAGTTTGAGAGGTAATTAAAATAGCTACGTGTGATATTCTAACCTGAAGTGTGTGTTTTGTCCGCTCACCGCTGCAGGTGATTATGCAGAGCTGCATGTCGACTCGTCAGCAGCAGCTGATCTCTCTCTCCCGTCAGATTAGACTTCACTCGCGTTTATGTCCATATCGATCAGATCCAGCTAGTTCTAGCTAATGATATGATACCTGCTTATTAAAAGACACCTAAACAATAAGTGTCGCTATGCAACCGGGTGAGGCCACAAAGTATAGCTCAGCATTATGCATTTGTTTACATGCCCACCGGAACCCCGACACATTACCAACAGATCAACGCACAATCAACCCATGAGGACATCTCTTTCTCCACATTACGTGTTCGACATTAGAATTGACTATTCTTGTCTGTCACATAAGTGGCGCAACTGAAGCGGTATTGCGCTAAAAGGAAATTATTTTTGACCGAAGAGATTTAGATTTGCCGGCTAACGGGAACTCTGACGTCGCCATTTTGTGTGCTTCGCGGATGCGCTCGGCTCCTCTCGACTGCTGCTCGGGTCTGCTCGGTCAGCTTCCGGATGAGGAGGCATTCGTTCGACCAACTTACAGTAGATAACATTACAAACATTTTTAACAGGGGCCATAATAGTGTAAATAATGTTTGTTTTGGCAGTTATAACTGAATGTAATGTTTTCTACTTTTTTACATCTGGGAAGTGCCTTCATCAGATGGAAAGTGTCTTGACCAACAACTTAAGTATTTCTTATAGCTGCAGGGCATGCAAGCGAGCAAACACAAACAAGAACAAACAAGTGAAATGAAGAATAAAATTGAACAATATAATATTGTGGTGTTCATCTTATAATTCAGTCTAGAGAATGCACCAGACCTGCACAAATCTAAATGTTCTAGGGGGAGGCCCCCCAAACCCTTCGTGAGCGCATTTTTCAGGGCAATCTCTATTGGGCTCAGGGCCATCTGTAAATTAGCTTAGATGGCCCACAGGGCCATCTCCCAAAATCATTAATGTCATGCACTGCTCCCTGAGGTTCAGAACAGAGGAGAAGCCTTCAGCCTGTTTGAGATGAAGGCAGGGGAATAAAGGAGAGTCAAATATCTGTCTGCCTGGGGTTTTTCTACAAAGACAGGTATGATTGGGATCATCTCAACAGCACTGTTTTAATGAATGAGATAATATGTCTTCACATGGCGTGGTTCCATTCCGTCAGTTCATTTCAGTGTTGCTGTTGGCCCACTGCCTTGTTTCCTTTGATTTGTATGTTTTAAATGTATGTTAATAATGTGTTATTATTGATGGAAACCCTGACATGGTATGCTTTCTCTTCTTTTGGCACCGTTCTTTCTCAGGTAATATCTCAGAGGTGTTTTGTCAATGTGCACTTCAGTTACATGCAGCGGTTAAGGATGGAATCATCTGGTTAAGAACTGTACAGCCAGAGAGTTTGCAATTGTAAAATACATATCTCAGTATCATTTTCAAATTATTTTAATGTAAGGGATCCTTCAAAAATGGCTGTGAGGTCCATATTGTATTTATTAATATTTGCAATGGATAATATATTATAAAACAAAAAATCGTCTTTGATAACCCAGCATCAAGCCCGCTCTAAATAAATGCATTAAATTATTGATTCAACATTCCACAAGGCCGTGCTTTAATACTGACTAAAGGAGCAGTTCAACACTGAAATTAGAAGACTGCTATCATTCTCTTTGTTTAAATCAAACTCCACCAGAGTGAACACATCAATGTTGTTTACAGTTCCTTTGGAGTATGACAAAAAAAAAGTTATATTGGCCTAAATTTGATAAATGTCCTCAAGTGATGTCACTCGAGTCAGAGGAACCTGCAGTACACTTCCCACAAAACTCTAAATTGTACAATTTAGTTTCTGCACAATAAAATAAACTGAGTTTATCAATTATAATGCAGTCTCTTGAAAGGATCTATTAAAAATATATTATATATTGTTTTCTACTACAGTAGCTACACATGACACAGTTCTGTGGGATCCTTCCACCTGTCCGTGGACAGGCCTTCCGACTGCTCAACACCTCGCCATCAGCAGTCGTGGTCTGAGGTGGTGCGCAGGAGCTTATTGAAGTTATTAGTTAAAAAGTTAAAAGTTATTGACTTCACCGCCTCGCCTAAACCTTCAGAACTGCTTCACGACCCATGATCCGGCCCATCCAGCTGATGTTCCCGCGGCACTGGACTCGGACTCGTGAATTCTTGTGTGCGATGACTTGGACTCTGCCCATTCACTTTGAAAGGGGTGACATCACGCTTCGCCGAACTGCATTGTGGGAGCAAAGCGTTCTACTTTTGAAGCTTCGACGGAAGCGTCAGCCAATCGAATCATATGCCAGTACAAGCTCTTGCCAATCAAACCGCTGCTTGTGTGTCCGGGGCGGGAGATTCAGGTGATTGGTTGTTGGTCTAGCTTCAGACATGCCCGCCGGCAAGCTTCAACGCACGCCACCGTGTGTAAGCTCCGTCACAGCGTTAGAAAATCGGGCCTTCAAAATAAAAGTTTGACTTTTTTCCACCCAAAAATAAAAAGTTTTTTTTTTTCTTCACTCACATCTGCGACCCACTCGAAACGGGTCCGCGACCCACCAGTTGAGAACCACTGGTCTAGAAAACTGGGTGGGAGTTTCAGCAACAGCTCTAAATTGGTTTAGTTCCTACTTAAAGGACAGAAAAAACGTTGTCTCAATAGGCAACTACACATCAACCTTGACAAATATGTCATGCGGGGTTCCTCAAGGCTCCATCTTAGGACCTTTGCTTTTCAATATTTATATGCTACCTCTGGCTGAAATTATTAAAAACAACGATCTCAGCTATCATATCTATGCAGACGACACCCAGATTTATTTAAAAATTACACCAGGAGACTGTTCTCCGATTAGAACACTGAGCAAGTGCATTGAGCACATCACTGACTGGATGACTCAGAACTTTCTCCAACTGAACAAACAAAAAACTGAGATCATTGTTTTTGGAGCAAAGAAGGACCGATTAAAAGTAATCGCAGAGCTTCAGTCGGCAGACTACAAAACAACTAGTAAAGCTAGAAATCTAGGTGTGACTCAGACCTGAATTTTAACAGTCACATTGCAACTGTCATTAAGTCTGCATACTATCACCTGAAGAACATATCTTGGATTAAAAAAACTAATGTCACAACTGGATTTAGAAAAACTTGTCCATGCTTTAATCTATAGTAGACATGACTACTGCAATAGTGTATTCACAGGGCTGACAAAAAAATCCATCAGAAAACTGCAGCTGATTCAGAACGCTGCTGCACGTGTCCTCACTAACACTAAAAGAGTGGATCACATCAGTCCGGATCTGAAATCTTTACATTGGCTTCCAGTTGGCCAAATAATTGATTTTAAAGTACTATTGCTAGGTTTTTTTTCATTACATGGACCAAAGTATATTGTTGATCTCCTACATAATTACGAACCATCAAGGTGCCTCAGGTCTTCTGGGACGGGTCTGCTATCGGTTCCGAGAGTAAAAACAAAACATGGAGAGGCAGCGTTTAGCTATTATGCCCCGACAATCTGGAACAACTACCCAAATCATGCACGTCTGCAGAAACTCTTACTATTTTGAAATCGAGACTGGTTACATATCTCTTTGCCGCTGCTTTTAATTGAGCTGCTCATATTCACGCTACAGTATGCCATTTAAACATGTATTGTATACCTGTTGTGTTTATTTGATTATCTTTGCTTTTTAATGCCTGTTGTATTTATTCCTAAAAAGTCTTTTACATTTGTTTTGTAAAGCACTTTGAATTGTCGCGTGCTGAAAAGTGCTATATAAATAACCTTACCTTGCCTTACAAAGTAACTTTGATATGAGTGGCAGGGTGCAGAGAGCTCTGCATGATAATGAAACCTGCTGTACTCAAAGACAAAAATATATATTTGAAAAATTAAAAGTCTCTTAACCATGACCAGAGGCCTGTACTACGAATCCAGTTCAACATACCCTGGATATGTTTGGATATGGCTTACATAACCCAAAACAAACGCGCTCTCGCTAAGCGGTCCTACGACGCTGGTTATCAACTCGGTGACTCAAGCCAGGGTTTCTCTGTCCGGCTGAGTGCGCGTTGAAACATGAAAGGGGCGGGGTTAGCAACATTTGACCAATCACAAACAGGGACAAGCGTACTGACAGCGCAGCGTTATACTTCCTGAATGAAAAGTGAACTATGGAGAGGCGAAGTCCCTCCCTTTCCGGTGGACCTCCATGGGACCTTATTTCGGAAAAATGATTTATTGAAGTCAATGGCGAGAGAAAAGTTATCTTTCAATCCCGTTTGAATTGTGCCACAAATTACACATATGTGACCTGCTCCATCGAAATCAGTCGCATTGACCCGAAGACACATTTTGAGTTGTATACACTGTTGGAAAGAGGATATTTCTAGCTTTCTAATGATATCAGGATTGTTGTTGTACTCCAAATATTAAGCGAAATATGTCACATTATATAATGACTGTCACCGAGTCATCATTTTGAGAAAAAGGCCTTCAAAGTGTTCTCTTCTCTGGAATCCATCGATCTGATTGGTTATTGGCAAATTATCAAAATACTACGGAGGGAAGATATTTTCGTTTGGAGGGGAAGCTCGCGAGTGTGTGTGTATACGTGTGTGTATGTGCGTGTGTGTTTGTGTAATTTTGCGTTTGTGTATATTGTGTTTGTTTCCCGGGGAAAATACTCACGAGAAACACCGGCTGTTGTTATGCCTGCTGTGACGTTAAGTTACTCCGTTCTCCGCTTGTAATTATGCCGTTACAAGCTTCAAAGTTGTATTTATCATCTGAATTTGCCGAAACAAGTTTAATATTCTGAAAGCCAAGACTTTGTTTAATTGAAATCAGATGAAAACAAATTGTAACGGACCCTGCCGTGTTATTTATGATTACTATACTCTTACATTAATAATTTCAG